GGAATTTAATACCAAGTTACAAATTGCTGATGGTTTTATTTTATTTTTTTTTCCCTTCTTTTGACTACTTTATTAGTACAGCATTTTTGTCAGTTTAAATAGAAAGCTTGGTTGGCAGAGGTTGTTCCCAGAGGGACGCTTTGGGGAAAAACTGAGGCGTGGTCTTCACACTCTGCATGTTCTGCAGATTTGCAAACTTCACGAATCGTTCAACTAACCGCAGACTGAAACCAGAGGAATTAAAAATTTATTACATTTTAAGTAGATGATCGTGGAAAGAGATTAAATGCTTTTTTCTGAAAATAGTGCATCACAACTTTTTTTCAGTTTTGCTTAGTATTCTTCCAAACTTTTACAAGCAGAGCAGTTCTCTCTTAAGAAAAATACTTCAGGTAACTTTGTGAGAGACAAAAATGTTGCTACTCATCCACCTTGACCCACCAAGATCTAGGCTGTATTGAACACCCTTTCTTCCCCCTGTTGTAAGTTGAGAAAGACCAATGCTTTCCCAGAGCAACCTGGAATGCCAGAGGTGGCGATGCAGATATTCTCTATTCCCTGTGAAATTCTGGCAAAGGTCCATTCATCTTGAAGAGGGTCATGCAGCATTTCCAAATGTGTGTATTTAAAAATCAAAGGTTTTATTCCTAGTAAGCTTGAATGTGTTTGCTTCTTTTCATAGGCTACCAGATTTGGATCTCAAGCAAGTCAAAAGGTGATTATAGATTTAGTTCTGTTTATTGACTGTAGTTTGCTTTAAATGTCATGTGTTTGCCTGCATCAGTTGATTTAGACTTGGTCATCGGCAGACCAGCGTGTTTATCCTTCACAGTGCACAGTAATTTTTAGGCTGTATCTTTTGTTTCTGTGGGAATTGCAGTCAACTGCAGTGATCAAGTTAAGCAAGAAATAAACAATGATACTTTGCTGTGTATAACTGTCAGGTGTATGGGAGAGGCAGCAGATGAATGAAATGCTTTAATTCATGCTTGCAGACTTAAAATACCCTGATTTTGTTTTTGTGAACCTTGAATCTGGTGTATCTTGAAGCAGTTTTCTTGGTAATGCAAGCCATCTTTCCATTGCTAAAGCCTAATAAGATATTACAAATGTGAACTGCTTAATACTGTTCTTAAATTAACTTGCTTGTGTGTGTTTAAAAAAGTAGCGATTACAAAAGGATTTCATCTTTCAAACTAGGGTTAAAACAGAGACCATCAGCCCTGAATTACACAGAGCTCTCTTTGCAAGATTTGTTTGCATGGATAACTTTAAATTCAAATGTAAAAGTGTGTTAAAAAAAAAAAAAGAAGAAAAAACATTCTCAATGTGCCAAAGATCTGAGTGAGAGGGGGCTTACATGTGTGAATATTTGATATAGGGAGTTTTACTTTGAACTGTAGCTCTGCTTGTATGCACAGCATTAGCCTGGCGTGGTTTCTGATACGCATAGGATGCAAGTGCTCAAAACAAATGCAAAACTGCAGGTGTTGGTGGTCAAACAGATGTATGCAGTAGGATATTAATACTCCAAATAGCAAGCCAAACTTGTGTATCTTTTGCAACAAAAATGTCTTGTTAAAGCACCCAGGCTTGATACTTACAAACTTTAAAGTATTTGTTGCTTGGCTTATGTAAGAAAAACTTAAGTGTTCCATGAGTCTTCCTCTTTCACTCCTTCCAGCAGTTTCCCTTTTAGAAAACTGTTCTTCCCTTGGTGTTATTAGCAAATGTAAATACAAGTGTACAAGCTCATCACATCTACTGACAAGGACCACAGCCACATGGTGCTCTGGAGTCTAACCTGCGTTACCGAAGCTTAAATTTTGTTCCTGAAACATCTGATCTTTTGCTCTGTGGAACAGATTTAACATCTTTTTGATGTAATACATTGTTTAAAAGTATATTTGGTGTCCAGTGACCAAACATATTCACTGTTTGCCTTGTCAGTAGATGTTGAAGTTGGAAGAATTTCATGCTACTTAACTTGCCTGAAAAAATGCTGCCAATTTTTTGCTAAAAGCTGCTTCTACCTTCCTTGCTCTTTCTCTTTTGCTGACTGGGTAAAGTTTTGGGGCTACAAGCAGCAGCCAGAGCCGGTAACGCCCTCACGTATATTCTTGTGCATGGACTCCTTGTCTCCGTTCGTGCTGAATATGTGCATTTGCTCCTGAGCTGTCTTTTCTTTTTTTGCTTTAAGTCAAAGCTGTCTAGAATAATATTGTGTGTTTCATACAGTAATGTTTCTTCAAACCTATTTAAAATAGGTTAAATTGCATAGAGATACCCAAGCTCTGTGCTCTCAGAAGACATACTGTGCTTTTGTCTATGCGCTTCATAAACACAGGTGACTTCAGGGTTTCTGTTGGCATGTCTGCGGGAATGCAGTATAGCAAGAACCACCCTGGGATGTTGTTGGGGGGCAGACTCTTGAACACATACCCCGTTATGTAGTGTTTGTAATGGTGGTTAAGATGCTATCCCAAATTCAACGATAGTAAAGATGAGGAAGCGATCAGAGGGAAACATAATTGTATCCCAGACTTTCCCTTCGATATTTGCAAAATTATGTGGTTGAGTAAATGGGATAATATGAGAATTCTTCCTGATTCTACCAACGACTTCACTTAGCATCCCTGAACTTAGTCATAGTGTACTACACTATTATATAAAACATAACCAGTTTGCCAGGCTTAATAAGACTCTGAAGGATTTTTCAAATATGAAAAATCCCCTTTCTTGTTTTTCTTAAACACTTTCTAGCCTCACTTCCAATGGAAATAAGCCTTATGGCTCTGCACGTACGTTTCTTACTAGGTGGAAGTGGGGTTACCGTTTGCCTTTGTCTTCACAAATAACTTTTGAACTGGTAAGGGGTGGAAGCATTGGGTAGAGAGGAGATCCTAGCAGTGCTGTGGCTGAGGGAAGGGCTTCTTAGATACTTGGGAATCTGTGGAGGAAAGATGCTGCAGGTGCTTCATCCGCAAGAAGAATATGAATGAAGGCTCCCACCCTAACCAATGTTAGCAATTTCCTAAACCCTTAGGAAATGAGACTTCGTTAGTCTCTGCTAATGTTTAGGAATAATGTTTGTCTCGCAAGGAAATGCAGCCTTTTGAATTAATTGGGCTAATTCAGAAGGTAATCAGTAATATATGGCATTTCTGAAGAAAGGTTTAAATCAAGCAAATGCTTATTATGGTAGGAGGGAAAGGAACGATTTCACATGAAGCATTTGCAAACCCTGCTGTCCGTGTCAGTATCTTCTTACGCCTATCGACTCGAACTGTGGGCTTACATTTTTGTAAGATGTCTCTGAAGTACAGTATCCTTATGCATCTTGTTCTGGATTGCAGTAGATTTCCAAAGTTCATTGTTTTCTCTCCCTGCAAACCTGGAGCTGTAAAAAAGATTACAAAAATCTTCTGTCACAGCTTTGCCTCTTGTGTATTGCTTAGAAACAAGTGGGCTATTAATAATAGATGACAATAGCAGCGCTACAAGAAAGAAGAGTTGGTGAAAAATCAGTCCAAAAGATCTAATTCTACAAGTAATTCCATTAGTAAGAAAAAATACGAGTGGATGAGGTCAGTTCTTCCAAATGTTCGGCTGCAGGCATTAGCAAGAGGCCCATGCTCTAGGCTGTTGCTGGTTGAACCATTGCTTCTGCTTCCAGTGCAAGGTCAGACTTTGCTTGAGCTCTGGGCATCTCCAACAACCTATTGCTGTGTGCATCTGTTTTTAATTTCTTTTAATGTTTTCTGCAGCAGTGTACTGTGTGTGCTTTTCAGCTCATTCTGCTTGTATGAATCCAAGTTTAAGGCTTCATGTGTTTTTGGACATAATGCTGAGAAATTAGCCTGCAGAAGATGTTGGCTGTGTTTTTTGGTTTTTTTATAAAAGTAAAATATAACTGACTTTGTTTTTGTTTTGCTTTTAAATAGGCATCAGAGTTAGGTCAGACATTAAATGAAAATGTTCTCAAACCTGCACAGGAAAAGGTAACTTTGGAACTAGTAAATTACTTGCAGAACATGGTTATGCTGACTTAGGGAGTGACTGTTTCCTCCTGCCGCAACTGCCCAGTTTGTCCTTCTGTTTTTTAATATACTAGCACAGTAGAAAATGGGAAACGATCAAATAATTCAAAGCTAGCGTGTTAGCAGAGAAGGATTAACAAGGGTAACTGCTCTCCACCAATCTTTCCCATGTCACAAGAGTCTTACATTCTTCCCTGTTAGGTACTATTTGATAGGTTTCATGCTTTCAGTAATGGAAGATGGGCCAAGATGAAAATTTACCCTAAATGGATATAAAAATGAGTTATTAAAAAAAGTAAAATCTTAGTAGTATCTTTGAGTGTGAAGTTCATAGTGTTTTACCCATCTGCCTGCCAGCATAGTTTTAATTCAGCTAAGCATCTTTGAGCCTTTGAAGTTCATTTGCTGCCTCGTTGAGGGGCAGCAGAAGTTGGGGCAAAGTATGTATTTAAGATGAATGGGGACAACTTATCAATAGAAGTAATATGTGCTTGTAACCTTTATTTTGTATTAATTCAGAATATTCTGGTGGTCAGTTAATACCAAGATTTGCATGCGTTCATCAGCAAAGTGTCATCTAAAGTAACATTTTGATTAGCTGTTCTAGTTGCTGTGCTGTTTCTAGGAAACTGGTTTGAAGCAGATTTTCATCTTCCCTTGACAATTGTTAGGGACCCAAAACATGTGGCTAATGGCACTTCCAACAGCAGCTGGGAGAAAGCACACGTGCTGTCCTGAGTAAATACGGATGGTCACTCGTGGGCGTACAAAAAAAAGCAAGGCACTCCTCAGAAGTGACTGGTGATCACTGATACTACATGTTTTAGTCAAAGATTCTCCCTGGTGTCAAATGTTGCCTTCCTGTTTCATATGTTTAAAAAAAAAAAACAACAAACTTTTACATCTTTGTCATTTGGCATGCTTTTGTTCTGTGCTTCTAGAATTTTGGATCAACTCCAAAATTTTGATGAAGTCTTCTCTGAGAATGTGGTGCTCTGCTTTCCTACACACCTCTTCCCAAAATATCATCGTTTTGATAAAGCAGACGAATTTTGCTCTTGTAAGAGAACCAGTGCCACCACTTCGGGATGTGGATGAATTTTCAATTTTAAAAGAATGGTTTAATCACATTACAAAATAATTTCTTTTGCATTACCTTGATTAATTCAACATTCTTTACATAGCATTTCAAATCACATGAGAAAATTCTAATTAGTTTCCTATTCCCTAGAATTATCCACAACTGATTTCGAAGTGCTTAGATGCATTATTTTCAGAGTTATTTTTAGGGTGTATTTCACTGAGCTGAATTTTATTTTGTAGGACAATTTAATGAGGAATGTTTCATTCTATATTAAAAAAAAAAAAGTAGTATCTGTTTCCCTTAGGATGTTGTGCTGTTAGTTCTAAATAAGTGTTGCTTTCTGAACTCAGTATTCAGTGATCACTGCCTGGCACGTCCATGGTTATAGCAAGTCACTTGCCTTGGAACAACTGCCATTTATTAATTGGTGAAAGGCGTCAATTGTATTCTGGTCGACCACAGTTCAACGCGCTTTTAATATTTAAATAAGCATATATAAAAGATAGAGAATAAAATGGAGTGGATAGGTTTTTAATCTCTCCAAACCAAATCTTTTTATATAGTAAAATGTATTTATAAAATGTCATGTTTGCAGATTTTTTTTGTATTAAAGTTTTTATGCTCAGCATTAGTGTCATGATACCTTCCTCAAACTGTTCGTATATCAGTAGAAAATTCCCACAAACTTCAAAGGACCGAGTTTCGCTCCATTAGAGATCAGTGGACTTTATACCTCATTTTCTTAACTTCGTAAGCTTTGGCTTAAGTATATTTTGATTCAGTTTGGGTTTTTTTTTTTTACACTTTTTGGTTTTAGCTGTTAAGCACAAGTAAGCTTGTCTTAAGGTTTCAGTAATACTTTGTTTTATGACTAATTACCAATACTTTGATTCATGTAGGTGAAAGAGGGGAAAATATTTGAGGAGGTCACCGTGGGGGTGTCACAGTTGGCCAGCAAGGTATGATGTGGCCTGCCTGCCTTTAAGGAATGGACTTTATACCTCATTTTCTTAACTTCATAAGCTTTGGCTTAAGTATATTTTGATTCAGTTTGGGGTTTTTTTTTTGGTTTTAGCTGTTAAGCACAAGTAAGCTTGTCTTAAGGTTTCAGTAATACTTTGTTTTATGACTAATTACCAATACTTTGATTCATGTAGGTGAAAGAGGGGAAAATATTTGAGGAGGTCACCGTGGGGGTGTCACAGTTGGCCAGCAAGGTATGATGTGGCCTGCCTGCCTTTAAGGAGGCCAAAGAGTAAGCCAGTCTCCATATTCTTACAAAGAGTTTGTAGTGAAACAAAACCCCAGTGCGGCTTTAGTCTTTGCTTGTGTGGAATACAGAAATTTTGAAAGTGTAATTTTCAGTATGCAGTACTTCTGGTGGGGCATTAAAAAGCTACATAGGTATGATGTAGTCCTCGTAACAGTTTCACCGAGGACGTGGTATAGAATCATATGACAGCTAGTGTCCCAAACACAAAAAGAACACGTCTGCTAGAGAATATGGAGACAGCTTGCGGTACGTTTGTACAGTTAAACTTACTGATGTTCTGTACCTTTTTTCTTTGTCTTCTTTTGCCATCATTGCTTGGTAATGTGGTAAGTGCTGTCTACGACTGCTAAGTACTGAAGTCCTGCACAATCCCATACCTATTTTGGTAACTTGTACGGTGTTGCCTAGGGGGGTCTGTCCTTCTAGCACTGTGAAAGTCAGCACTGGAAGCTCTATCGTGTTACCAGCTTAGTGCTTAAATGTTGGGAATATGTGAGTAAAATAAGTGATATTACCTGTTCTGTTTAGAGCCTGGCAACTTTAAGTCTGGATTCTGGGATTCATCCTCTGTATCTATGACTTAGGATAGTAACTTTCATGTGTGTCACTTCAGAATTTGGGTTTCTAATCCAACACCAGTCCATTATCATAACCCCCAAAGGATTGTCCTGGCAGTTGTGTTTGTTCTAGAACTCAACTTTTGGCCCTTTTTACACAGCCAGTGAAAGAATACCACTGAAATGGGGTGAAAGTAGTTTTGTAGAACGGTAGAACATGCAAATACTGGTTACATGAATCGTAACATCAAAACATGAGTGCTGTCATTAAATTTAATTTTATGTAAGGAATAATTCCAGCATTTTTGTCAAGGAAGTGTAGGAGAGAATTCAAAGGCTGTTACTGGCAATGATGGGTGAAAAAGGTGAGCTCAGGTTACTTTTCACATCATCCAGCAGAACGATGCTGTCAAATGTATGTTCTTCGCATCAACTATGTAACTGCCCATGAAAAATACTAAGAAGTTGTGAGTGAAACTTTCTGATGAAATGTGTTCCCTTGATCTGAACACGCAGAGGAATGTGGTGTGGCTTTTGCTGTTGGGCTTGGAAGAGGTGTTGGTTCAGCCCAGATGAACGAAGTGTCTTTTCTTCTCTAGGTTCAGGGAGTTGGAAGTAAGGGATGGCGAGACGTCACCACTTTCTTTTCTGGCAAACCAGATGATAATTCTGAAAGGTATATTTTTTATTATTTTCTGCCTCTCTAAACAGATAATTTTATGTCCTGTATGTCCTCTGCAGTATGGTAGTAGCAGGTAATTTTTAAATGTGAAGAAATTATTCTCTCTTAGCTAGTAGTCCTGTTGTATGTAATACGGGAGGAATTCAGTCTAACTTTGTTTATGACAATTGTTAATCAGAACAAAATTGTGCACGGCATCTTGGTTTGAAATTTTTTCCAAATGCATATCCTCCCCCCACTCCAGGCCTCTTGGTACTTCAGGCTGTTAACAAAAGTCTGTGAATTCTAATACAAGCTGATGCCATTTGGAGCAATATATTTAGTTCTTCTGCCTTCATCCTCAGTTTTTGTTTAATCAAAGGGCAGTAGCATTATAGTTTTCCTTGTTTGGGGTGATTTATTTTTATTGTTATGTTTGTCATAACTAACTTGTTTCTACCTTTCTTCCCCCACCCCCATGAAAGACCATCTGAGGGAGACAGCTACCAGAACAGTGGAGGGGAGGGCTACCAGAACAATGCTGTAGATCAAAGCTTCTGGGAGACCTTTGGCAACTCGGATCCACCAAAAGCTCATAAATCTCCGAGCAGTGAGAGCTGGACCTATGTGGACAATTCTGCAGAGAAGAAGAGCTCTGATAGCTGGGACGTGTGGGGCTCAGGGACGGTCTCCAACAACAAGAACAGTAACAGCGACAGTTGGGAGAATTGGGAGACCAACTGGGAAAACACAGGAGGGGAGAGCAAGACCAAAAAACCTCCTAAGGCAACAAAAAAGGCGTCTTCAGCTGATGATGGGTGGGATAACCAGAACTGGTAGAACTCCGTTAACCCTGTTTTGCACAGCTAGGAAAGGGAGGCTATGCTGGCTGATGGAGGGGAGAAAGTTTTACACACAACTGGAGTATCTTGGTTGACCTTACTGATCTGTTACTTTTGTGCTTCCCATTCATTCTCCTTTCTTCTGTCCCGCTTTAGGAAAAAAAAGTAGCATCTGAATCTTTTATTACATACAGGTGGCTCTGTGCTTTTTTAAGGATAGTGATAAGTATATTCTCCTTGCACTGCTGAAGGTGGATACAGTGACTTTCGTAACACAAATGTTCTAAGGAAAAAAAATCAAGCACACTTTCATGGCACAACCTTGCATGTGTAGGTTAAAGGTATTCATCCAGTCCTCATGCAATTTGAGATGACCTAGGGTGTTTAATGCATACAAAGGACAGGGTGTGTCTTGAAAAGAAAACCATGAAATAAGCAAACTGCAGTTGAATAGATCTAGTTCAAATGCCTTACGGATTGCTCTGACCATACGAAGTTGGGCAATTCAGGATGATCTTTAAGATACTTTTTACTGGAGCTTTGTTTTTAAACTTTATGAGATTTTTTTTTAAAATCTTTTAAAACTTATTCCCTTAGAATTAATAAGGAATCTAGAGCTAGATAATTATTTATGTAAACTCACAGTGTTGACCTGAGCTATCCCAGGATATCCAGAATGGCTCTACTTTCCTTCTCGCTCGGTGCATTAAGAGTTTGCAGAGTGCAGCTCTCCTACACAGTCAAAATGCAAAGCTGTGGTGTTCTCTTTCCTTACCTACGCCCTTCCCCCAGTTTATTTTATATAGTCTGGTTTTTCTGTCTTTCTTCCTTCTACCCATCTATTTTACCTATTCTGATAAAAAATGAAATCTTTCTGCTGCTTATGGCCTTTTGGACATCTGTTTGGCAACTTGGCAGCGAAACAAATTTAGAAAAAAGATTCCAGTAAGAAAAAATGGGTGGAAAATATGAGAACATTTTGGAGCGAGGCTGGCAGCAAGCCCCTTTCAAGATTAGTGGATGTCTGGACTTAATAGTAAAATTTAAATTTAGCAGATGTTTTCCAAATTAATCTTTAATGTGTCAAGCTGTATCTGTGTTTCTATCATATATTTCTCCACGTTTTCTTCCTGGATCTTGTTAAAGAAACACTATTTTGGAAACTAAGAAACTCCTTGTCAGCATTAAGGAATGGAATAGAAGACTCGGTGATGTCTCAGTTTTAACCCGACAAATTGCTTTGCATGACACGAACCATGACTTCTGCAGACGAATTGTGACTTTAACGACAAACGTGTCCTATGTATCCCGTTTTATTTTTGGGGGTGCATTGTGAATGTACACTCAGCCCAAAATCAGTCAGCTCACTTGAAAACTTCAAGTCATGATGTCATTACATCATCTGCTTCACTACCAGCATGGAGTTCTTTGCTGTGGACACTGTAGATCTTAATACATACCTAAAAAGCCTTTTCTTTTAAGAATTAGGTAATTGGTTCAATCAAACAACCAACCTAAGTTGTCAAAGTTACCTTAAATAATGCTTCATTTCTTTTTCTCTTCGCAGAGGTTTTTGAGTTTATAGTAATATCAAGAGGTTAAAAAGGAAGGAAAATCATGAATTGCCTCAAAAGTAGCAGATTTTAAAGGCTGAAGTAGAAGTAGCTCTATTTATAGCCTGATTCTGTATTTCTATTGGTAGGATCTTTCAGATGGTGAACAAAATATTTTTCTAGTCTTCTCCAGCCCTGTCCTGCAAGAGTTGGGATTTCTTTTTTTCCCCTTGCTTCTCCTGACAGCGTGGTCTCTGAAGCTCGTGCAGCAGGACCAGCGCTGCTCACGACCCAAGCGCTGCTCGAGGCTGAGCCGTGCACGGCGCCCGAGGCGTTCTGGCCGATTCGCTGACCCTTTGGAGGGGGCCGAAGGCACGAGAGGTCTCGGTTTACGATGCTGCTTGTGGTACCGTTGGCAGACGTTTACAGCCTGACTGTAAAACAAGGATTTTGTTCTGCTTTTTCTCCAGTTCCAAGTATACCTTTGTCATAGCTTAACTGCATGTCAGGCGTAACTTTGTATTTTTATGCATACACCTCTGTTGCCTACTCGTCATTTGTCTGCTGCCCGGTATGAAACTGTGATGCATGTCCTCTGAAGGCGGTGCTGTGCGATGTGCGTGAAGTGGCACTGCCCGGTCCTTGGCTGACGGTTAGTCTGTGTGAAGTGTTGCAGCAGCGGTGACGGCGAAACGCAGACGATGGGTTGCACTGTCTGACTGCTGGTGTCTGTCTGGAGTGATGTGAAGCTGATTCAGCTTCCTGTGTACAAATTTATTACAGTTTCTCTTTCATAAATCTCCTGAAATAGCAGGATAAGCTTTATTCCAGTCCATTCAATCAACAGTATCGTGATGTGTGTGCGTACGTTCTCCTCAGCTCTGTGGTTCGTCTAGGAGAAAACTAGGTTATTGATGTATCATGTGCAGCTACGATTGGCATGAGCCATTTGTACTTCTGGGTTTATTTTTGTATCTCTTGAGATTTCATGTTCTAAACTAAACGAAACAGCCAGAGCCCTACTCAGGCAGCAGCTTTGGGTAACAATTTTTTCTTCCAGTTGAGGAAACGGTGACAGGACAGTTGCCATCTCTCTTTCTGCAGTGCTGTAGGGAGGCAACAAAATGCTGCAACTCCCAGAAAGGTGTTACGGAAGATACTAACAGCCAATATAATGTCAGAAGGTGCAACTGCAGCCACAGAACTCGTATACCAACTGGTCTCAGTTTGACAGGAAAATCGGTGTTTTCTTATGACTTGTCTGAATCTGAATGTTTTATCGTGTCTTCCAGAGGAGAGGATGAAATGAGAACATTTTCTTTTGCAAAGCCTCCGTTTTACTGGATTTTACTTTTTTGGGGGTATATGGCTGGGAAGCTTCTGCAGTTTGGTGGAATGCATGCGATCAAGGTGCATGTGTGGAGCGAGTGTTTATGAATGAGACTTTTTTTTTTTATCCCCCCTCCTCTCCCCAGTTGCTCATCTTTTGGCCTGGATCATGAGCACTGTAGACAGAGGCGCCGAGTGCAGCCTGCTGGAGCTGAGGGCAGCTGCCTGTCTGAGCGGAGGCACGGCCGCGAGTCCCGGTGAGCGTGTGGACTGGCGAGGCTTCAGCGTCGCTGTGGGCTTCACCTGGTTGGTGGGTGACCAGGGCTTCGCTTCCTCCTTTCAGTCCCACACCACGTATTAACAGTTTTAAGTCATACAAGCAAATTGCCAGGAGAGAGCGCAGAAGGTGAAACGACTACCGCAACGATTGGACATTGCAGTGTTTGGTTTAAGTTTCCAAGTTTTTCAGACTGGTTTATTCCTTCATGTGACTTCAACCTTGGAAAATACAGGGCAGCTGGATTCCTACAGGTAGTCTGAAATAAGAAAAACATCAAGACATTCAAACCAAGTGCCACTTGCAAGAGTGAAAGTCTTAGAGACTGTTCCTGAAGCAGGAACCTAATCCTAGGAGTTAGGGATTATTTTAAAATGTTTCATTTGTGTCTTGAAACTTGTTAATAATTCTGACATTTCAAGAAGTGCTTGGCCAGCTCTCCCTCATAGTTGAGACCTCAAGGATAATGCTGCTGCTTTTATTTTCCAGGCCAGATTGTGTAACATTCCATGGGTTCATAATGTATTTATCAGTGTAATGATCTGTGCAATAATTTAACAAGTGTAGGTAAAACCTTTGTTGTTGAATCCAGGATACATTTAAAGATACAGTGGTCCTCTTGGAGAATAGCAGTCTGCCAAGGTATTTCAGTTCTCACCTTACTTTGGCAATATCGAATTTCAGTAACCCTGTTAAGAAAGGCTTGAGCAATCCGTGATTGAAACAGAAATCAAGAAACATTTTGAAGTCCATTATTAGAGTTTGATTGTAATGGCTTAGTGCCCTCTTAGCTGTAGAGCCCTCTTTCATTTTCATGCCAGCAGAATCTTGGTCGGTATGGAGTACTGTATCTTTAATATTCCTGATGTGTTTTTTGTGAAGTTCACAGGAATGGCAATTTCAGTGAACCTTATTCATTGCTCTGTAGAGTGGTACCGGACTTGAACTGCAGTGTCATCTTTTAAAGAGCATTATAATAAAGCAAAGAGATATGGAGCAGAATGGTGTTTAGCCCTTTTTCAGGACACTTCAGTAAATTTTAGACCCATGTGCATTACCATAGCTTATGTGGCCTTTTGAATGAAGCAAGTTAGTTCTTAGTATGGGTAGCATCACAGAGTAAACTCAAAACGTGTTGCTTCGTAATTCAGAAAGTAGGAAAGTATTGTTACAATATGAGTATGAAATTGTCTTGATGGAGCAGAGTAACTGACCTTAACCGCGTGAGTATGTCCTGATGTGCTGGTGTCACACGTATTCTTCAGTGACAGTAATGAGGGAGAAAGGAAGCTGCCAGTGTTGATGACAGAGTCAAAACCATGTGTTTCAGCTTTATATTTCATTGGAGCTTCACAGTCTAACTTTAAATGCTAATTTAAGATCTCTTTGAATTAGGAACAGTTGAAGACAACGTTGGTTGCCTCCTTTGTTTAAAGAGAACTATAAAATAGAAATTAAAGCGGTTGTAAATAGACTTATGTACTCTGACATTTTATCAGCTGGTCTACAAGGGCCCTTAGCACAGGAGAAAGGGTAACTCTGAAAGCAGTTTTCCTTTCCAAGAAGGGAGATTCCTCTGACGAATCCTCCAGCTAGTGGTGGTGCTTCACGTTCATGTCCAGTTTCCTTCAGTACCCAGCCAGCCAGTGAGTACTCTGGGTAATTCATGACTGCACTCAGCTTTATATCAATTTAAAATATCTTTTGTTCTCGGTCAGCAGGACTGAATCCTACTTGCCTTGTAGGAGTAACTTGATTTTTTTACACAAAAAAGTGGATGTTTGGGTTGGGTCATGGCACTGGTGTTACTCCACTGATACGCTGAGTCCATTCTTGCCATGGCATCCTACGCTAAGTTGCTCTGTGTGTTGGTTGTGGAAGGAGGCTTTCTGGCCCTCTCTTCTGACGCCATATGCAGGCCAGTGACCTAGAAACGTACAAAATACCATGGAAAGCAGTAACGTGTATTCTGAATTTCAGGCTGAGCAGAATCAACAAAAGCTGATAGAAAAATTGGAGTCTGTAGACCAGAAAAGATCAGTCGTTGACTTGAGGGAGAGCAGACCACAGCTACCCTTACGATGTCCA